AACATTTTAACAAGCCCCGCTGGCTCCATATACCGTTTGCTCTGACTAGTAAACTTTTACATGTTTTTAAAGAAAACAAATGTGTGGGAAAAAAATGTTGTTTGTTTTTTGCCAAACCAAAGTATTAATCTGCCCTGGTAGGGAAGTTTCTTGGCCACGCCACTGACTGCAATTTCCAAAGTGTCATCTGTATTTTTCAGTCCTTCCATGTATAAAGAATCCAACAGCAGTTTCCTTCAAGGTTGAGTAAGTTTGAATGTTTAGGGGGCTGTAGCCACAAGATTTGGCAAACCATTCACTTGTCATGTTAATAGAAAAGGAATTGTTTCTGCCTCTTTAAGCTAGTAGCTAAATGAAGGGCTTGGATCAACTGGGTTTTAATCATGAAGTCCAGATTCTTCTTGCTTGCACGTGAATAACTTTGTGGTGTTGAGGGTTTTCATCTGATTTAATTTTATTTAGAGGAGGAACTGAGCTTCTTCCCTCTTACCAACCCTTGAATTTGCTGACTTGTTATGCTCTTCAAACCTAATCGGTTTTCTTGATCTTAAAATGAAAATCGAGCCTTTCTGCACATTTTATTTCCCCAAAGCAATTGAATTGAAAAGTGGGGTGGTTTGGGTTTTTTTCCCAGCTCCTTAAGTTGTTTTTTATAGATGGCATGTTAGCTTTGAGGGCTGTTTCATGACTGGTAAAAGCTTATACCTTGTAAAATCCATAGCTTTTAATGCATTTTGTTTCTCACTTCAAACACAGTACTGAGAGAAGAAATAATAGAATATTTCATGGTCGTGCTGTTCCAACAGTTCAGATTCTTTTTACATGGTGATGCTGATTTTGTAGCTCCAAATGCTTGGGCTTAAAATTTGATTTCCTAAATTCCTTAGTCTGAAAATGTTGAAACTTAGAACAGGCTGTAATACACCCTGAAGAACTGTCTTGCTTACATGATCACTTCTCCTCTACCACAGAGATTACAAGAAACTGGATCAGATAAATGATTATATTATCTGTGGAATGCAAAAACACTGGGTAGATAACATTTATTCCTGAAAACAGATTTTCCCCACTCCTTTTCTCATGAACTGTGTTAATGTTTACAAAGTATCACCCTTGACCAGACTCTGATTAATGTTGGGTTGCAATGTGGAAATCTGGTGTAACCCACCATAAATATCAGTATAGCAAAATATCTCCTTGTTATTAATTACCCTCATTCTCTGTATCTGTCTGAAAAAAGAACTTTTCTCCTTGCCTTCATCTCTTGGGGTAATGGGGAAATTGAGACGCTCATGAGGGGCCAAGGTGTGTGTTCCTGCAGGAATAAAGTAAGAAGTGAAATAATCAGATCTCTGGTCAGCTTAGTTCACATGGGGTGACGTTGGTCACAAATAGATTCAGGGTAACCACAAATTTGTTGATTAGGTGAAGAAATTCTCCCCTGTGAGGTGCCCAGAGCAGCTGTGGCTGCCCCTGGATCCCTGGCAGTGCTCAAGGCCAGGCTGGAAATTGGGGCTTGGAGCAGCAATGGCAGGGGTGGAACAAAGTGATTTTCCAAGGTCTCTTCCAAGTTCCCTTCAAGATTCCCATCAGATTTTCGGTGCAAGCCTGCAGGACAAGCCCAGAGCTGGATGATGCTTTGCCTGCCAAGTTGTTCCATTGAAATAAAGAGGAATATTGAAATAGGAAGGGCTGAAAATGAGCAAATGTAGCAGAGGGTGAACACATCAAAAATGACCTGTGTGGGACTCACTCAGTGAGGCAAGCAGAGCTGCCTCATGTCTGACAGGTCTGAATTTGACACAGTCCTTTGTAAACAATAAATCAATGCAGGTTGTTTCTGTGAGTGCATAAAAGGTGTGAGAACTGTAATTTATTTTATAATAAATACTTGTGCTAAGCAAACAGTGAATGCAGCTATTAAAGACTTTCTCAAATAAGTGATTTTAGGCTGCTGAGTGCCAGCTACTCATGTGGTAGTCAAGCTTTTAAAATGAAAAGCCTGAATTCCTTTTGAAGATTCTCCTGAATGCTGTTGACACTTGTGCTAGGAAAGAATACAGAGTAATTTAATTCATTACTTTACTTAAAGATGGCATTTATGGTTGCAGCATTACCCTCCATCCGTGTGCAGACTCTAGGCTGGAGGTGTTTACTTGAATTTTTTTGGAGATGTTGCATCCTTTTATTAGGTGTGCTGGAAAGCTTGGGAGAAAAAAATGTAGGAGGGAAAGGGGAGTTGAGGATCAGTCAGCTGGTGTGTCTGGATACAAGGACAAAGGGACAATTTTGCCTTTGGCTACAGTTTGACACTTTACTGGATTCAGTCAGAATTATCTGCGCACGCTGAAGGGCACAAATGTCATTTTTATGGCATTCTATATCCTCAGTTGCTTTTTTTTTTTGTAATTGGCTGTGTATCCCAGTGCTGTAATAGAGCTCTTAAATCCTGACCCTGGCCAAAATGGGACACAAATACCAGTATTAATATTTCTCTCCATTTCAAATGCAGCATTAAGTCTTTTTACCTTATTTTTCCATCACCATCTTGTGTTTCCCTGGCAGCCACCCTCCTTTCCTCTGGCTCAGGGTGCTTTTGAGTTTAGTGCTCTTTTGAGCCCCTCTCCCCTTGGTCCATTGGCCTTGGATATCCCTCTGTTCCTTGCCTTGCTCCTCTGTCTTCTCCAGTTCCCCAACTTTTGGCTCCCCTTTCCTTGCCCCTCTCAAGGTGGCTGAAGGTCCTTGGATGGGTCCAGACTCCCTCACACTTTTCCCCCCTTCCCACTCATCTTTTCTCCATCAGAGTCATCTTCCTTTCTGCCAGACAAAAGAAACTTTCCCTGGTTGAGCTCAAACCCCACCTTTGCAATCTCCCTCTCCCAGTCCCAGAGGTTTTTGCTTCCAAATCTTTCACTCCTCGCAGGTGCTGTGGTGTTCCAGACCTTTGGCTGATACCTGCCCCTCTATTTGGGTGGAAATGCAGGGATTTGAGTGCTGTCCCCAGCCTCCAGAGGAGGAGAGGCAGCTGCATTGGCTTCTGCAGGCAGCATGGGGTGGGACATTCCCAGCTCTGCTCTCTGACAGAACCCAGACATCATTTACTGGCTCCATATAACCTGAGGCATCCACACATAAATTGAGCCCGAATGCAGAAGCTTGTATAAAGAGGATCCTTAAACTATCCTGGCTGAAAATATTTGTGAAATGCTGGGAAGCATCTTTTTAGTGTGTTGGGATGCTCTCTTCCCTCCTCTCTCTGTTACAGATACACAGTGGGGTCACTTGCATGGGCTTTGGAACATCTTTTTCACATGAATTATTGTCATTTCCATAAGTGGGTTAATAAGGTTTTTTGGGCCTGGAGTCTAAAACAAAAGATGTTTCACAACTGCAGAGGCTAAAGAGATGGAAAGTGTTATTGCAGGCTGATGTTAATGTGCCTGGGTCAGTCTTGTGGCTTCTCCCTTGAATCCTTTTTTTGCCCAAGCAGTGGCTGTTCAGTTCAGTAAGTAATGACCATTATTTATTATTAATTCAAAACATGGTGTGCAGGATTTCTGCCCAGTGTGAGAGCACATTAGCTTCTCCTGCACAAGAAAACACATGTTAATCTGTTTTCCATTATTGTCCAAAAGATCTTTTCAGAAGGCAGTTCATGTTGCCCCAACAACATTAAAGGCTGTAATTAAAAATAATTTTCCATTAATTTATATACATGCACATTTACTTATTATGATCTTTTGCTGCATTTCCCTAAGTGTACACCCAAAAGCCTCAAATGCTGTTGAGGAATAAGTCAATATTCCCTGTAATGATCCAGTGTGGAGTGTGCCAGAACCCTGATGTACTTCAATTAACCATCTTTCCTAACAAACACCTGCACAGGGAAATGCATCTTCTGTGAGAATCAGCAGAAAAACAAACCTTGACTTTTCTGCATGGGCAGAGGAAGGGAATTCCAGTATTTCACAGCTTTTACTGATAATGATCTGCTACAGATTAAAAACAAAAACCAGACATCATGGTGTTGGCAGATTGCAAAAGGACTTGCTGGTAAAGCTGCTGTTCAGAGGAGATGAGGACAGTGTTTATTGCTTCCATATGGTTCAGGCATACAAGACAGGCAAAATGTCTGAGGAGAATAATCTGTCTTATTATATTGATACAGAACATTCTTCAGGGCTGTCAGCCCTTTCTCCTGGTACCTTTCCCAGGTGAGCATGAGTGGGAAATATTTGCCCATGATTGAGCATGAAGATAAGAAAAGATTGCTTAAGGATTGGCTCCATTTGTGTGAGTGAAGTATTAGAAAATGCTGATTTTTAAAGGGGCAGGTCTGGGAGCTGCTCCCTAACACAGGGATCTGAAGGATCTCTTTTTTTCCTTGAATATTTTTATAGTTTTCAACCCTTTGACTTTCCAATTCAGCTTTGCAAAGTGCATTAGGGGTCTAAATTTAGAGTTTGATAAATTCATGTCAGAAAAGCCCTCCTTACCACATAATGTAAAATTGAATTTCTTGGTCTCTTTGACCTCTTGATATTTTTTTTTTTTAAGCCAAATTAAGAACCAAACTTCTGGGCCCACTGAAACAGAAGAGCAGCTGGTTGCTTTTGTATTTGTGGGGAGTTGGCTCTAGAACTGCAGTCTTTGACTTCTCCATAATTATCACTTGGGAAGCACCTTTCCTTGTAGGAAAGATGACACTGCCTCGAATTTTGGGGAGTAAAACCTTCAAAGATCCAATCAATATGCTCAAATATCAGTTTTCCTATTGCATTGCAAAAAGGGGGGACAGGCAAAGGAATTAGAGATTTGCAGAGTGGTCCAGAAAACTGCAGAGTGTCTCCCCAGTCAGGAGATGAGCTCAGTGCTTCTGTGTCCTTTTACAAATCAATATTGACAATAAATATTGGTGTTTGTGTGCCTGTTGCTGTGCCTGAGCTTGTGCAGCTGCCATTCTCTGTGATAACAAAACTTCTGCTCTCTTTTCCTCCCAGGGCTGATGAAATCGAGATGATCATGACAGACCTTGAAAGAGCAAATCAGGTAGGATTTTAAATGAATCCCCATAAAATTCCAAGTGTGACTTTGATTATTCTTTTTTAATTCTCTTTTGGATTTCACGACAGTTCTTTTATGTGCATTTTGCAGTCATAACTGTGTGGAGTAAGAAAATATGCAAATTTTGAGCAAAATACAGCTCTTCAGGGATGCTCTGAAAGGATTGTGTGCACAGTAGAGCAGTGCTTGCCATATATTTACCTTCTAATAATTTAAACTTAAGTTTCTTACTGTAGTTATTCTTGGCTTTATGTTTCTAAATCCATCGTGTTGGCCCCTACTCAGACATGCAGGTGAATGGTTTGCCCAAATTAAAGAGCCTTTGCCCTGTGGCTGTGGCAGGACTGCAGATTTGGGGACTTCTCCAGACTTTTTTTTTTTCCCCTTCCTTTTCTACTGTGTTTTATTGGCATATTAATTTTCAGCAAAGGTTGGATCAGGCTGTTCTTTCTGTGCAGGACCACAAAGAAATTGCCATTTGTTCCTGCAGATATTAGTTGGGGCTGTGAAATGTCTCTCTGGTCACACACTCCTGGCATGAGTGGCAGAAACACTGAGTTTTAACAAACCCAAACCCACCAGCCATGCAGAGAACCCTTCTGAGTGAGTGAGGTGGAGGAGATGTGTATGGATTCCATGATAATGGAAATTCCACAAACCACTGGCTGCTGGTTTCACAGAGGGAAAACCTCAGCCAGGATTTGCTTATCAGTGAGCTTCATTAATCCCTCTGCCAGGTTCCACCAGAGATTGCAATCTCCAGTCTCCCAGGCTATGGATTTATAATCCAGCTGGAGTTTGCCTTAGAGCAGCTCCCTTCCAGGGAAACAGTGGCAGCTCCTTCCCCTGCCTGGGTCCTGCTGTCAGCAGTGCTTGTGTGAGCCAGGCCAGGTCACTGATCCTGTTGAAAATGTACCCCCTGCTCCAGCTGCTGGTTTGTTTTGTCTTTTCCCTTTTGCCAGATCAGCTTTCAGCCCCCACACTCCCCTGCTGCAGCTGTCAAGGCTTGTTGGCCTTTATATTAGTTCTTGGAAAACTGGAAAAATACAAATCACAGAATCATTTCCACTGGAAAAGCCCTCCAAGATCTCCCAGTCCAGCCATCACCAAGGCCACCACTAACCCACATCCCCCCAGGGATTGAAATTCCTCCAGGGATGGGGACTCCACCACTGCCCTGGGTGAAGAGAAGAGATTTTCAGTGAAGAGATTTTCCTTGATATCCAACCTTGGAGCATCCTGAGGCTGTTTCTTCCTGTCCTATCACTTGTAACCTGGGAGCAGAACCTAGTCCTCACCTAAAGACTCCTTCCAGGGAGTTTTAGAAAGAGAGAAGATCCCCCTGAGCCTCTTTCTCCCCAAGCTGAGCTCCCTCAGCCACTCCTGGTGCCCCAGACCCTTCCCCAGCTCCATTCCCTTCCCTGGACACGCTCCAGCATCTTAATGTTTTAATGAAGCCAAAATCATATTTGTGAGCTGTTGAGTTGATTATTTAGTCAGTAAAAGCAAGCTGCTGTTTGTACAGTGGGTTTTTAGTTCTGTCAAAGAAGTTTTGTAGACAGCATTAAATATTTATGAAAGTGCTAGTAATTATTTGGAAATATGTAGACTTTTTAGAAATTACGTAGGTGTTAAAAATGTTTTGGTAGAATTATTTTGTGATTTTTACAAAGGCACTACACTTTGCAATGATTTACCCAGTAGTTGATTTTTTTCCCTTAGTCTAAAGGGGGCTGTAGTTAAAGAGCAGTATTTCTAAATTCCTTATTGTCTCCAAAAATGGATTATGCCTATTTATCTAGAAATGCTATTTTTCTATCTAACTGATACAAAGCTGCAATGTAGGTTGGTTTTTTTACTTCATTGTGGTGCTTTTCTTGTAATTAGGTAAAATTTACAACTGCTTGTGTGCATAACCCTTAGTTTGGTTATTATTCTGCAAAATCTGCCTGTACATAAAACCAGCATGCTGTTCATCTGAGCTGTTGGAAGGCCAGAGGAGGGGATTCTGTCTCACTTTTCCTCCTCCTCCTCCTCTGGCTGCTGAGGGCCCATCCCCTCCCAAGCAGCAGCTCTGGCACCTGGGGGTCCCTTCACTGGGGGTTCACTGAGCTCAGCAGGTGCAGGAGATCTTGGATTTGGGATGAAGGGTTTGTTCTCTGGGGGTTTAGCAGCTTGAGACAGCTCAAAAAAAACATGCGAGAAGCCACAGCACCCAAATCACAGAATCATGGAATGGTTTGGGTTGGAAGAGACTTCAAAGCTGATCTGGTTCCACCTCTGCCATGGCAGGGACACCTCCCACTGTCCCAGGCTGCTCCAGGTCCTGTCCAACCTGGCCTTAGGGGCAGCCACAGCTGCTCTGGGCACCTGTGCCAGGGCTCAGCACCCTCCCAGCCAAAAATTCCTTCCCAATATCCCATCCATCCCTGCCCTCTGGCTGTGGGAGCCATTCCCTGTGTCCTGTCCCTCCATCCCTTGTCCCCAGTCCCTCTCCAGCTCTCCTGGAGCCTCTTCAGGCCCTGCAAAGGCTCTGAGGTTTCCTGGAGCTTCTCCTCTCCAGGTGAGCACCCCCAGCCCAGCTCCAGCCCTGGAGGAGCTCCATGGAATTCCTCTGGAATTGCTCCAACAGCTCCATGTCTTTGCTGTGCTGTCCTTGTGTCCCCAGGAGGGACCCAAAGGGACACCAAGGGCCCCTGTGGCCTTGGAGGAGCTGCAGAAGGGAAGGGCAGGTTCCCCTGGAGAGGAGCAGGAGCTGCTGCAGGCTCAGCTCATTTGCTGCCCATAGAGTCCCTGCCTTGTGTGATGCTTTACCTTTATAAAGCACTGTGATGGATTCTATCTAATCTTTGTAGCAGCAATTCCTGTGTGTTTTACCTCTTCACAGTTGAAAAAAAATAAAAATTACTGGAAGAAATTAAATCTGTTGCACAGGCCTGAAAGTGAGTTTGCATCAGGCTGAAGTGTTACAATTGCAGAAACAAGTACTTAACCTAATTATGTATTTAATAGTTAAATTAGCATTTCCTTTTACCATTTCAGTAAGTGCTCATTCCCCATTATTAAGGCTACCTTTAAAGAGTAGTGCTCAGCACGACTCCTGCTCTGCTCAGGGACTGCCTTGCTGCTGTGGATGTGATGTTTTGCTGCTCTGGAATTAGCACTGACCCAAATGACTGGGACTCAGAGCACAGATTTCCACTAAAAATAATGGGAAAAAGAAATTGGTGTAAATTTTTATATATCTGACACTTCTTGAAAATGCCTTTCTCTTTTTAAATCCAGTGCTGGCACTTCAGAACTTCCCTTGCTGTTCCTCTCTGGCTCCTGGGAGGTGGGGAATGCATTTCCCTCTCCAGGGGACAGGATGTGCTCCCTGACATTGGTCCAGGTGTCCATAAAAATGATCAAGTCCACAGGGACAGAGCTGATGTTGTGGGTCCCAGCCCTGTGTGCTGTGGGGTGAAGCAGGGACCATTTTTATCTTCATCTTCATCGCCTCTCTTCTCCCAATGTTTTTTCTCACTTGGATCCTCAAGTTTTTTCATGCAGGAGCTTTCTGGGCTACTTTGCTTAATACCAACCCCAGAACAAATTACTGCCTCATCAGAATAATTGCCTTTAAATGCCAGTGAGCTTTGCAATTTTCTGCTCAGAGAGAGGGAGGTGTAGTGACCACAAAGCTCCCTCCCTCTCCATTGTGTCATTGACACAAGGTGTAAACTGAATTTTCCCACAAAACATCACAGTGAGAGAAATGAATCCCTCACTGGGTGCTGCAGATGAGGGGAGGTGACAGCTCCTTTTTTCTCAGCTGCTCATCCAGGTGCTCAGTGCCATTAATCCACAATCTCGAGTGGGGTTTTGTGGCAGGGCTGGCAGAGATCAGAGGACACCAAGCTACACCCCCTGTGAGGGTGATGTGGGTGTGACCCTTCCCTTGGAAAGTCCTGAGAGGGTTTTTTAATATAAAAAAGACAAGAATGGTGCATTGAATGTCTGCTCCAGCTGCAGCTGCCTGGAGGGGAGCTGTTGGCTCCTGCCATGGGGCTTTAGGAAGGGTGTAGGATCAGAAGCCAAAACCCCCTTTGAATTCATGGTAAAAGGTGCAATTCCAACATGTCCAGGCTCAGGAGAGCCATGGTGCAGAATCCCTGTCCATCCCTGTCCATCCCTGTCCATCCCCTGCTCATCCCCAGGCCAGTAGCACCCTGTGGCTCAGTTCCTACTGAGGGCACAATAAATCAAATACAATAGGAAGGGCTCCTTTTCACTTTATTAACCCAGCAGCTCAATGACAAAACTTGATAACATAACCCAGAGTTCCCCCTGCATTTCCATGAAGATTTAATAATGCTGTAGTTTGGTGAAGGGACTCGTTTTATTAAGATTTCATTTTGCACAATAAATCACTGCATATTTTCTGATATGCTACGAAGTATAAGAATAAATAATTAAAACTAAACTACCCGTACTTGTCAAAATAAATGATTTATCATAGTTTGGGATACAGCATCTTTGAATTTTTTATTGTTTGATTCCCAGAATATTCTAATTTCCAATCAGGGAAGTTAATGAAGCTCCAGTATACATTTCTGCATTCACAGCAGTTACAGTTGTGTGATTGTTTATTTTAGACAAATATTTATGGTTAGCACTTTGCTGTACCTTTTCAAGTTTACACCTTTCCAGTGTTTATGGCAGCAAAGTCAGGAATCTTTTTGGACTACAAATTTATTCAAATGAATTATTGTTCTGTTTCTGTACTTCATCCAGGAACCTGGAATCATCCAGTTGTGCCTGAGAAAAACAGAGGGGTTTGTTGGGAAGAATAACTCCTAGGCTGTGAAAACAGAAATATTTAAATATATTTGAATATTTAAATATATTTAATATAAATATTTTTAATTTTTTTAAATTACAGCTGGGCTTGTTTTAAGGTTTTAATACTCAGTCTGAATTTGTGGCTTTGAGTCATTGATGTG